GGATGTTCCAGCGAACAGCGCCGTGGACCCAATAATCAGTACCTACGACAGGATGGTTTACTTTGCTCTGTCTGAGTTATTCTTCGACAGCGGGATGTTTGCCTACTATAGAGCTGGAATCTTCCAAATGGACATCAACCATGAGAGGGTCATGACACACATGCATGGGCGCACTCACTCTCACACACACACACACACACACCAACCTTCTTACCTGTTTTCGTTCTCATCTTTATAGATGTCTAAAGATATGGAGATGCTACTAAGAACAACCTACTTTGGAACCATGATGATGATGGTGAGTAGAACCGTCGTGATGATGATGGTTAGTAGATCCATCATCACAATGATGGTTGTTCGGACTCAACTTCATGTTCCCTTGGTGCATTCTGGGTAGAATCCAGCTTTGGTTGATGCACCGTTCGCGCTTCATATCACCGTGAATTCTCCACCAAAAACTACCATCAAAACGTCTGGAGCAACTGTTGCTGTGAGGGCCATCGTCAAGGTGATGGTAGTGCCTCCCGGCCAGGCCCCAGTCCAGCTGAGCAGCATGACCATGGTAACAAACGCACACACAGACACAGACACACACAGAGAGAGAGAGAGAGAGAGAGAGACAATTGGAATTCACCTGTGTCTTCTTTCCTACAACAGGAAACAAAGTTTAATGCCAAAGTCTCTGTAAAAGAAAAAAGACTTTCTGTTCATGCTGACCTACGAAGGTGAACACACACACACACAACAAATACAGACATGCATATACAGACACACACACACGTGTAGAGACACACACTCACAAGTTTTCTTTCTGGTGCAGGTTTAAAATCTTCTCCAACCAATCTGCTCTGGAGTCTCTAGCTGTGAGTATCGGTTTGACCAACGAGTCTGTCTCTCTCACCCATCTCTTTTTGTCCATCTCACTTGTTTCTCTCTCTCTCTCTCTCTCTCTCTCTCTCTCTCAGCTCATCCCCCTCCAGGCTCCTCTGAAGACGATGCTTCAGATGTCGGTTGTTCCATTGATCAACAGTAAGAAAATGAATTCACCTGTGTTTGAAAATAGTTAACCCTTTCATGCATGACGGTAAAATGTGTTTGAAAATAGTTAACCCTTCCGTGCATGACGGTCACTACAGTGGACAGCTGTGAAAATGTCATTTTCTATGATAAGAAGATAAGGTTTTGATGGCAGTGTTGCATGTAAGCCTCTACAGTGGACGCCTGAGAATCACCCAACACTGCCATACAGTGGTCAGCCTTTGCAACTGCAGAATAATTGTGTCAACATTCAAAAAGGAAATTTTGTGTCTATAAAAACAGAACCAAATCAGTTCTTATTTTTATGTCTAAAAACACATAAAAACACTTAGTTACATTTTTTTAAAACTCAGTATATCATGGGTCATGCATCAAAGGGTTAAATAGCTACATCCAATAATTGTAGTAAATGTGATCTCACTGCGTGTGTGTGTTGTGTGTCGTGTGTTACAGACTGGACAAAAAGAGGCATTCAGATCCCATTGGCTGATGGGATGGAACTAGTTGAAGAAGTCGTTGAATATCACAACGTAAGTTTTATAATACACACCGGTATATATGGATGTAGTCTAAAGAATATTTGAAGTATTTACCGCGTATATACAGTGTAGTACCTCCATCCTGGACTCAACCCTGGCTTTTCTTACATTAGGGTTTCATTGTGATCGGAGCAAATCTTCACTTCAGTAAAGGACTGAGAGATATGATCTCACAGTGATGAATGAACAAAACCAGACTGGATCAGTCTTTATACACCCCCCCCCCCCCCCACCCCACAACCCCACAACACACCCAAACATACCCTGAAAACTCAAGGGCTTTACCAACTGGAGAGTGACATGACATCAACTAAACCCAAACTAACCAGGAAGTGACGAGCGCCGTGTTCGCCATCCCCAGAGTAAAGAACCACGTCAACATGATCACTGGGTTTAAAAATCTGTATTTTCACAAATTAAACATTTATTCACTCTAACCTGACTCCATTGATCTTTACTGAACTAATGCAGTGATTGCATGCACTAATTATTTTCATGCCTTCCTGACCCACACCGCCGTGAATTGAAATACTAATGAGAACCTGATAACGTTTTTTTTTTTGTTTTTTTTTTATCCTATACAAACCACTGTATGCGTTGCTGCCCCCCAGTGACTGGGGGCTTATAATTCATGTGTGTCCATTTGAGTGCCATATTCCAGGGGAAGCCCCTCACACGCCCCTCTACTAATCGAGCTAATCGCACAGGGTGCAAGTAGAGGGTCCAGGCAGAGGTAGACCAGGCATGTCATGGGAAGAATGCAAGAAGGTCGGGCTGGAGTCAGCTGGGGATAGAAAGTCAGGTTCTGGTCCAATGCCTCAAGGAAATAGAGTAGAGCCATGGTCATCCAGGAAGTCGCAAGGGAACAAGCAAAGGTGGCAAACGAGGAGAAATGGACTCGGTGATAGGACATCATCCACAAGGTTCTTACTTGGAAGGACACATAGGATACTCCGTATCAAGGACAAAACAACATAGGCCTCCAACATATCCTGTCATCACTGGGGTGGCATTGGCACTGTCAGGAAATAAAAACTAAAAAAATAAAAACTAAGAAATAAAAATTAAACACCAGCCCAGCAGAATAAGTTCAGGAATCGGAATCAAATGTTTTTTTCTGAGTCATGTGACAACAAGTAGTTGTTTACAAATCAGTGATGTCATCAACACATTTATTTTATTAGTTAGAAAAAAAATAAGAGTGATGTATTTTGGTTACATTCAAAAAACACTGCAGCAGAATCTCAGTCTGTAATCAATCAAATCGATCAATAAAAAGCCGCTCACTCTTTCACTGATCTCTCTCTCTCTCTCTCGGATGTCAACCAGCTTAGAATCCCATCATTTTCTCATTCATTTCTCTCCAAAACATTCACCGATGTTGTCATAACCATGGAAACCACACTTCCTTCCTGCCACTTTGCAGCCAAAGGTCAGCGCTTCCTGCAGAGTGCCACCTACAGGCAGAAGAAGTGTACATGTATTCATGCCTACGTAACAGTAACTCTTCTGTTTAAGTCCGTCCGCTAGACAGTTTTGTAGATGTCTCACCGTTGGACAGGGTGTAGAGGACAGCAGCATTGAACGTGTCTCCAGCACCGAGTGTGTCCACCACAGTCTCGGGAGGAAAAGCATCAGAATGAACCACGATGCCGTCAGGACCCAAAGCATCTGCTCCCTGTTCTGCCCAGGCACAGATCAGAACAGCCCTAACAGACAGAGAGATGAACAGGTCAGAGGGACAGACGGGTTGACCAGCTTAGAGGGACAGACAAGTCACATACAGGTCAGAGAGACAGACGGGTCAAAGACAGGTTAGAGGGACAGACAGGTTGACCAGGTTAGAGAGACAGACAAGTCACATACAGGTCAGAGAGACAGACAAGTCACATACAGGTCAGAGGGACAGATTGGTCGACCAGGTTAGAGGGACAGATGGGTGACATACAAGTCAGAGAGCCAGATGGGGCAAAGACAGGTTAGAGGGACAGATGGGTGACATACAAGTCAGAGAGACAGATGGGTCACAGACAGGTCAGAGGGACAGACAGGTTGAACAGGTAAGAGAGACAGACAGGTGACAAACAGGTTAGAGAGACAAATGGGGCACAGACAGGTCAGAGAGACAGACAAGTCACATACAGGTCAGAGAGACAGATGGGTGACATACAAGTCAGAGAGACAGATGGGTCAAAGACAGGTTAGAGGGACAGATAGAGGGACAGACAAGTCACATAAGACAAGTCACATACAAGTCAGAGAGACAGATGGGTCACAGACACGTTAGAGGGACAGATTGGTCGACCAGGTTAGAGGGACAGACAAGTCACATACAGGTCAGAGGGACAAACAGGTTGACCAGGTCAGAGGGACAGATTGGTCGACCAGGTCAGAGGGAAAGACAAGTCACATATAGGTCAGAGAGACAGACGGGTCAAAGAGAGGTTAGAGGGACAGATGGGTTGACCAGGTTAGAGAGACAGCCAAGTCACATACAGGTCACAGGGACAGACAGGTTGAACAGGTTAGAGAGACAGACAGGTGACAAACAGGTCAGAGAGACAGATGGATGACAGACAGGTCAGAGGGACACATGGGTGACAGACACGTTAGAGAGAAAGACAAGTCACATACAGGTCAGAGCAACAGACGGGTGACGGATAGGTCAGAGAGACAGACAGGGGACGTACAGGTCAGAGAGACAGATGGGTCACAGCCAGGTCAGAGGGACAGACAGGTTCACTAGGTTAGAGGGACAGACAAGTCACATACAGGTCCGAGAGACAGATGGATCACAGACAGGTTAGAGAGACAGACAGGTGACATACAGGTCAGAGAGACAGACGGGTGACAGACAGGTTAGAGAGAAAGACAAGTCACATACAGGTCAGAGAGACAGACGGGTGACGTATAGGTCAGAGAGACAGACAGGTGACATACAGGTCAGAGCAGCAGACGGGTGACGTACAGGTCAGAGAGACAGACGGGGTGACCAGGTTAGAGAGACAGACAAGTCACACACAGGCCAGAGAGACAGATACCCATCTGTCTCTTGGAACCGTCTGTGATCGGTCTGTCTCTTGGACCTGTCTGTGCCAGGTCCAAGAGACAGATAGGTTTAGAAAAATGAGCGAGAGATGGATCACAGACAAGTCAGAGAGATAGAAGGGTTACAGACAGGTCGCGGAAACAGACAGATGACAGACTGGTCAGAGGGACAGTCAAGTCACAGACATGTCAGAGGGACAGACAGGTCAGAGTTTCACCCCTGTTTGACTCGAGGATACAGTCCTTTCACAGCATCTTCAGCGGAATGAAAACCGAATTGACGAGCGACGTCTTTACTGACAAACACCTGACGACAAAATATACAGAAAATAGAAACCATTGAAAGATGAGAAGCTTATGACGATGTATCCCGAGGGTCACGTGGTGGTTGTGTTCATGTTTTGATAGTTACCACGTCTCCGTGAGGAAAAAGCTGGTACAAAGGCTCCCTGGTCTTCTCAATCTCCACGGAGACAGCGATTCTCTGTTGCTGTGGTAACGAGCTGTTGTACTTATCCACCCGTTGGATCATCTTCAGCTGTTCCTCAGCATTCCTCCCCTTTAACAATCATTCAATCAAATAAAAAAAAACAAACAGAATAAATACGAACCAAAACAAACATATCGTTCTGGTGTTCGTGTACGTGATTTTCTTCGTGTTGGTGCCGTGGATCCATTCTCACCTCCCAGTGGATCCACTTGAACTGAGTCAAGTCCACTTTAGTAAAATCCTCAGCTGTGACATCAGGAAGGTTCCTAACAGGAAGTGAGGTCATATTAATGTAGTGGAAATGCTTCCTAATAAGTAATAAGTAATGAGCAGATATGTAAGTGATTTGAAATATATATTAAAATAGGATGTTTACATTTAGACAGATAATAATTGAGCTGGGTGTCCATGATTCAACGATCAGACTCCATTTTTTTGGACTTGGTTTTTTTTAATCATATTTGACTCAGTGATGACGAAGACTGGAACCAATCAGAGAATTTAACACCCAAAATTACTTCTGATCATCAAGATCTGCAGTGATTCATCTTCAATCTTCAATTCAGGAGCATCTTCAGGTGGTTCAACTGTCTTCACTAAAAACCTCTTCCCCAAGTGGAGTTGGCCAGGTCAGGTTCGAACCAGGATTATTCCTTGTTGTTCTCATTAATGAAGAAGGAATATTTATATCAACTTAGTTTAATTTAGATTCAAAATCCAAACAAACTTACCTTAAAACTGAGGCTTAGTTCATCTTAAAGATCAACGAAACTTCAGCCTAATTGTATCCTAGTTAGCATTAGTTCAAAAATTGAAAGATTAAAAACTAAGGTCTGGCATCACGTTAAATGTCATATCTGATTTCCTGTCATTTCGGTAACAATCAAAAAGTAAATCTAGACCTGGCTCCAACCCCAGGTTAGGACTAAGTGATTGAGGTGTTTAGTGAAAACCGTGAAGGTCAGCTAAACGTGGCCAGGTCATCTTACGTGTCAGACAGAACGACGGTTCGAGATCCGCTCGAGAGACAAACCACGCAACATGCACATGGAGTTTGACCTTTGAGCTGCCAGACGACCCCTGACACATCTATGTCATGGCTGGAAAAATCACTCGTGATGAAACTGAACCAGAGAGACAGGAAACTATCAACAAACACCCCGCCCTCCAAAATAAACAAATAGAGGGGAACCACATCCGCTCTGCCCTTCAAAATAAAAGACCTGGTGCCGACATCCTGATGACATTCCTAAGATGGAGAAAGGTTAGAGGGGATCACAAACCTGTTCATATGGAGGATGGTGCGACTTCCTGTTTGGATGTTACTGATGACCATGGACGCTGGTAGGCAGCACTGAGCATGCTCAGTCACCAGCGACACCTCAACCTCGAACCTCTGAAAATCCTCCAAAATAAAACTAATGAGAGGGAACTGTTATTGTCTCCTCATCAAAATAATTGCTGTTAAATGTTAGTGCAAAGGTGCATCACTTCAATTGCATTACTGCCACCTACTGACTCTATTGTTGGCATATTTCCTGGGGTTCATTCAAATGAATAGAAGATTGTTGGCCCCACACTGTAGCATACTGCATATGTCCTGGGGTTCATTCAAATGAATAGAAGGATAAATGACAGTGCAGTAATTTGTCTAAACATGAAGGTACAAATACTGTAGTCCAGCAGGAGGCAGCAACACACTCTGACTCATTAAAGTAGGAACTAGCAAAAAAAAGTGAAAGTTCCCTTGAAGGCTTATTAGAATATGAAAAGATAAAAAAAGGTTGATGACATCACCGTGAAAAACTGGAGATGGACTCTTCTACAAAAACAATAAACGCTCATTTCTGTGGCCTCTCTGGCCTAAGGGTCATTGACTGATTCACACATTGATTTAGTACATACTTAGCCACAGGTCCAGCTGACAATGAACCCATGAAGGCGCACGGCGCCCCCAGCAGGGACAGAACAGTGCAGGAGTTTGAGGCGTTTCCTCCTCGCTGCCAGCGCTGCGACAAACACCTGCACATACAGCAAACCATCAGTGACATCATCAGTGCATCCATACATGAGTGATAGTGTGAGGACAACACACCTGCTGTCGGTGTCTTCTTCAGGATATTTGTCCACCACGTTAATGATGTCCAGACAAACCAGACCAACACACAGTATCTTCTTCTCTCTCGGCTTCCGATCCATGTTGAACTTCACTAGAACGCCAGAAACTTGCTGCACTCTGGACTCACGTGACATCACTTCCTGTTTATGCTGTCGCCTTATCTTTCAGAAACCTTTGAGTCGACTCTATGCTGACCCGTAGTGGTGAATATTGGTCATTACACGATTCCATATATAAAATAAAACCTGTAATACCGTAAGGTAAATGTGAGGTTTCGTTCATACTTTTATGAATTAAAATGAAGGATCTGAACCATCTCTTTATTGAGGCCATGGCTGAAGATTGGGTTGGCTAAAACATTTATTGAGTTTGTGAAGATGGTCATGGCTGAAGATTGGGTTGGCTAAAACTGAGCTTAATTTTCCCACAGTTTTTAGCTTAGTTTGTGGTCTCAGGTATTGATTTTATTTTACATTAAATGTTTTCTAACCATTGGATTGTTCTGCTATATCGTTATCTTTTTTATAGGATTTTCTCTGTTATCAACTATACCTGCTCAGTCTTTCAGCTAACTCTTATCTAATCTGTTTTTCTGGAACACCGTTGATGGGAAGACATTGAACCGTGACTCTGTGAAATGTTTCTAGGGCATCAATGTCAGCAGTCTTCACTGATATTTTGCTAGCAGGAGCTACGTTAGGCTAGATATTCTATCTACGTTTGAGCTTCCTCCTTGACTTCCTTTTCTGTTTTTTTTTAAGTAATTGAGGTGTGTTGTGGCTATGTTTAGGTACAGTATTTTGGTTAGCTTGACATTAGCTAGCTGTTTTGTAGTAATTAGTAATTAGCTCATTCATTCAAATGTCAGCATTGTTCTCTCTCTTTCTCTCTCTCTTTTCATAATGACATTAGACGTAAACTTCTACACAGCTTTCTAGGAACAGTGCTCATGCCTAAAATTATCATCAACTCTGGACTTGGTCAACAGGTGGCGCCGTGCCTAACTTCCGCTATTATCAGTGGAGGGGAGAGAATACTACCAGCGGTTGAACAAGTGACCTTGTTGCTGTACGGCGAGGTCAATAACCACCAGAATGTCCGGGGTCATTTACGCCGTCACAAATAAAGACAAAGATTGTCGGTTCTCAGACTATCACCTTTAATTGTGTTTCTTCACTGGTGTCAGTTTGTGTTGATGTTTTGTTGCTGGAGACGACAGATCAGCTCAGTCACCAGCTTCTGCAGAAGTTTGGCTCTGGTCTTGCAGATGTGAAGAACATCATCGTGGTTCACCTTCTCCTCCCGACTGTAGTCCAAGGACACCTGGGAAGCACGCCGCAGCCCAAGTCAGTATCACGCTGCTGACATTTAATGAACATCAAAAATTGAACTGCCCGCCCCCCCTCTACCACTAAGTGTCGCCAAAGGCCTGAACTGCCCGCCCTCTACCACTAAGTGTCGCCAAAGGCGCTCATTTCATTTTTTGTGTCAGAGTAGACCACATTTGCCTAAAATCTGGCTCAACAATAATCTTCGAAACCAGACTCACAAAGGTCTGCATTTATTGGCTGTGACCATACATGTAACTAGGTTTGTGGTGTGGGGGTCAGACCATTGGTCTGAAAACTGACCATGTTGGTAATGAGCGACAGACCCAGAACTCTGAGTCCACAGTGTTTGGCCACAGTCACTTCAGGGACTGTGCTCATACCTGAAAAACATAGAAAACAAAGAGAGAGAGAGAAAAAAAGAAAATCAACAGCAGTTTGGTTTGAACTGATGGCCTACTCTGCTGTAGGTCAAGCATGCTAATCATTTACTTCAACATGTGGCACCCATGATCCACAACTGCCCTAATCCACTGTCTGTATTTGGGATGGAGTAGTAGAAGGAACCAAATGAACTAGGACCACACAGGAAGTCCTGAATGAAAACCTTTGTCTCACATTTTCAATGTCTCCCCCCTTACTGTCAGCTGTCTTACCCACTGAGTCACAGCCCAGCACCAGCAGCATTCTGGCCTCAGCGATGGTCTCGAAGTTTGGGCCGCTCACCATGCAGTACACCCCCTCCCTGAGGAAACTACTGTAGTCCAGTTCACAGGCAACCTCTGACACCAGGCGCCTCAGGTCCTTACTGTAGGCATCAGACATGGAGGGGAACCTGGTCCCAAACCTAAAGACAGACAGGTCAGGGACAGATGGGTCAGAGACAGGTGAGTCAGAGACAAACAAGTCAGAGACAAACAGACGAGAGACAGACGGGTTCAAAGCAGAGACAGCTGAACAGGCCACATGCAGACACATCCTTCACCTAAACCTCAGCCTTGAACTGATCACATTCAAGAGGGTGAGTCAGAGACAGATGGGTCAGGGACAGATGGGTCAGAGACAAACAGGTCAAAGACAAACAGGTCAGAGACAGACGGGTCAGAGACCAACAGGTGAGAGACAGACAGGTCAGAGACAGATGGGTCAGAGACATGTGAGTCAGAGACAGACGGCCCAGAGACAGATGGGTCAGAGACAGGTGAGTCAGAGACTAACAGTTTAGAGACAGATGGGTCAGAGACAGACGGCCCAGAGACAGATGGGTCAGAGACAAACAGGTCAGAGACAGACACATCAGACAGAGGCAAGTGAGAGACAGACAGCTCAAAGACAAACAGGTGAGAGACAGACAGGTCAGAGACAGATGGTTCAGAGACATGTGAGTCAGAGACAGACAGATCAGAGAGAGGCAAGTCATAGACAGTTGGTCGAAGACAGACAGGTCAGAGACAGACAGATCAGAGACAGACAGGTCAGAGGAAGATAGATCAAAGACAAACAGGTGAGAGACAGACAGGTCATAGGCAGACAGATGGTTCAGAGACCGTTGGTCAAAGACAGACAGGTCAGAGACAGACAGATCAGAGAGAGGCAAGTCAGAGACAGTTGGTCAAAGACAGACAAGCAAGAGACAGACAAGCAAGAGACAGACAGATCAGAGACAGACAGATGAGAGACAGACAGGTCAGAGGAAGATAGATCAAAGACAAACAGGTGAGAGACAGACAGGTCAGAGACAGACAGGTCAGAGGCAGACAGGTCAGAGACAAGTGGGTCAGGGACAGAGTGGTCTCTGACTTGTCTGTCTGTCCGTCTGTTCCTCTCACCTTTCATCATTTGGTCCACACAGTGGGTGTTGTCCAGCGAAGCCTGGCAGATTGATGTGGTCTTTGATGATCATGATGTCACCGACCTTGAAATCTGGACAGATTCCTCCAGAGGCATTAGTCACAATTATTGACTCCACCCCCATCAGCTTAAAGATCCGCACAGGTAAGGTCACCTGAAGGACAGAGACACAGACAGAGAGACCGAGATAGAGAGTGAGATGTGACACAAAATCCCCAATTATAATTGCTTTCTTGTCTCCTCTGTCTCGTCTTCTTCTCCTATTACGAAGATCAAAGGTTAGGACTGACCTGGCACAGCGAGTAACCTTCGTACAGGTGAAAGTGACCCTGCATAAAGACGCACGCGGCGCCATCCACAGTCCCAAACACCAGGCAGCCTTCATGACCTGGGGCTGGGACGAACACACAGGACTTCCTTTGAAATTTGTCCTGGCCACCACTGCTAACAATACTCAGTGATGGTTCGGCCTCGTCCCTCGCTCACCTGTGCTCACAGGGAAGTTTGGAATGTCCTGGTACCTGAAGGTTTGCTTGTTGGAGGCAGCGTCAGCCAGGAGTCCGAGTCCTGAGCTGCAGATGACCGCCACCTTTGGACGGTGCCTCGTCTGGTTCAGGAGCCACTCGGTGGTCAGCTTGTAGTCCTCAAAGGAGCAGCAGCTGCGGAATAACAGCACAGCTGGTTGATTATTGATGATTGATCGTTGAGTAATGCTTATTGATGGAATCAAAGGACACAAACACCGTGTGACAGAAGAACCTAGAGACCGCTGCTTCCCCCCACACCAAAGTTCATAGAGATAATCAGTGATTTTAGAGGACCGTGATGATGCGCTTCATTTGTGATTCTGCTTTTCTCAGAAAAATGATTTTTCAATCCAACGACCAAATCTTTGAACTGAACTGAACTCTGAGAAATAAAGAGCGTCTTTTAAACATTGACAAATGTTCGGGCTGAAGGTCGTTGCTCATGAATCTGCTGCTCTGTCCGTGAAAGAAAAAATAATTAACTGACAGATAGACGGGCTACAGCAGTGGCAGTACCAACGGTAATAACAACAGCAGTAGCAGCAGCAGAATTATCAGCAGCAGCAGCAGCAACAGCAGAAACAGCGGCAGCAATGAATCTCAACTGATCTCATTGTGAAAAAAAAACAAAAAAAAAATCCCAAATGTTTCTTTCATATAACTTCATCGTCCACATGAAAAGTTAAATCTGTCCTCTCTGGTTTTTCAATTCAACTGATTTTTTCCTCTTGGTGATTCTGCTTAAAGCTTTTTCCCCAGAAACCTACTCACGGCCCTGACGTCCGCAAAAACACCTGCAGGTTTTAAGTGGTTAACAACAGAGATTTAGATTTCTATGACAACTGGAGGTCAGTTGAGCTCAGACTACAACGTGCAAAATAATGTATTTGAAAAATGTGGGAAACATCCCGACTTACCAAGAACTCCCTTTGTCGTGCATCCTTCACAATGCAACGAGACTAGAAGAGAGACGTAACCTCAGAGTCAAATATGCCTTTGTCTGATTGGCTGATTCCAGCTGTATAAATAGTACCGGGCGCATGCGACCTTTGATCTGTGCTGACTGGGGCTTGATCCATTGCTTTTAAAGACCACATTTAAAAAGGTTCAGGACTGTGTTTGGAGTCTGGACCAGAGGGAACCACCACTAGGACCTGGGCCTGGGGTCACAAAGTTACAAGCTAAAATACAGGTCATTGACCTTCTTTAAAAAAAAAAGAAGTGCATGCTGTTAAAACAAACCTAAAGATAATGGAGGTCATATGTATGAGGGTTTGTCAGATGACAGTCAGCCGTGGTGATAAAAACTGTTCATTCGGTAGGACTGTAAATTTGAACTTTTTATTTCGAAGCTGAAGTCTGCTCCTCTTCATCTTCAGTGAGTCTCCTCTACTGTTTGTGATTGGAGATTTTTGGAGAGTAAAATATCTTTAGTTAAATTAATACATTTAAAACCTTATTTCAATAATAGTCACCAGGGGGTGCTGCAGTCACCAGGGGAGGACAAGCGTTTACACCCCCATTCACACATATGGTCAGTTTAGAGCAATGGTTGCAAACCCAAACTCACCCACTTTCCCATGAATTGAAATACTATTGAGAACCTGATAATATGTATACAGTAAACCCTTGTTTTTCGCGGGGGTTACGTTCCAAAAAGAACCCGTGATAGGCAAAATCCGTGAAGTAGAAATCTTTATTTTTTTTACAATTAAATACTCAGAAAAAGAAGAGAAAGAACGAACAAACCATTTTACAGTCTCAACCATTTGTTTCACAAATTAAGTAAAATAAAAGTACTTTAGAAACGTTTCAACAAATAACTTCTGTAATGTACTGTCTAAATAATAATTTTAATCATCAACGTGAACAGAAGGCTTCAAATTGCGGAGATTAGCACCGCCCACCGTGAACGGGAGAAAATTAAAAATGATTATGAAAAAAATACAAATTACCTGGTCTTGTTGCGGGCAGTTGCAACCCTTTTTGAATCCTTATTAAAACGTATTGCTGCTGTCTTCCTTATGTTTTTTTCTTCCTTCTTTATGGAACGAACGGAAGACTCATTAATTCCATAATGCCGACCTACAGCCGCATAGCTTTTAGCTTCATTTAGCATGTCCAGTAGTTTTACTTTATCACCGATAGACAGCATCTTCCGCTGCCTTTTGGTCCCTACCGCAGGTACTTTTGCCGGTCCAGAGCGTTTTGTCGACATTATGGGGTTTGATAAACTCGAAATTGCAAGAGAATTTGCACGTACGTAATGTCAATTTGGCAAGCTGTTTTACGTACGTGTACATATTAAACCGCAATTTATTATTATTGGCGCACAGGTAGAGAAGAAGCGGAGTGACTTTTTAGCCAATCAGAATGCAGAACACAATGCACGATGCAAATCCGTGAAGTAGCGAAACCGTGAAAAGTAAACCGCGTTATAGCAAGGGATCACTGTATTATTATCTGTACAAACCACTGTATGAGTTGCTGCCACCTAGTGACTGGAGGCTTGTTATCATCAGCCCCACTATTTGTATTTGAGAAACTTACATAAACTTAGAATTAACTGAACTTACTTTTTTTTTTTTCACAGAGAGACCAGTGCAGTTAGAGCTCGGGATTGAACCTGTGACCCACCGTCTGTAAGGCAACTTAACTAACCAGTCTTTCTCCACATGTTGCTACACTAAAAGAATATTTTTTTATTGTAGATACCTGTTATTGAACGTGGCCCATATCTGTCTATAATGATTGTCCAATCATTATAATCAAACATCAGACTGTTTATTAGCTTAGCAGCAAAAAGAAAAGAACTGTCGGCATCAGCAATTACAAACATGAACCTTTTCATCCTTTCGTCATGCAAGTTGTGAGCTCCCGCGGTCTTCAACGGTTTGGCTTTGATTCTCACAACTCCAGATCACAGATCATTCCATTTTTTTAATTTCCTTAAAATAAGTGAAGGGTTTTTTTTTTTTTTTTGATTTTCTTTAGATTTCTAACTTGTGTCCACATCCGTCCTGCTTCTCTTTACCTCAGGTCTCACGTCTGTGCCCGGTTACAGACAAACACACAAGACATCATTTGATCAGAAATGCGGGCGACGGAGACTTGTGCTGTTGTCCGATTGGACGCAGGTCCAAGACAGACGCGAAGACAGTCAGGAGCTTCAGGGGTTGATCACGGTGCTGTACAATGGAGGTTCAGGCTGACAATTCTGGAACTCCTGCATCCGAAACACACACACAAACACAAACACATGTGTGTACTGTAAATACATTTAAATGTTTTTATATTTTATCTTTCTTCTTTATTGTGTATTTTAAAAAATGCATTGTATCCAACCTTTTGAAATTGAAGTCCAGCAGTTTGACCTCTCACCTCGACCTCATTAGATATAGTCACAACTACAGGTGGCTGAAAGACACAAACGTGTTTAGACAGGCAGGTCGTTGAGCCAGCAGTGAGGTTAGAACACTACAGGCAACAGCCATTCTCCAACTGGTTGACTTACTACATTGTTGCAGTTACAGGTGGCGCTACAGGCATACCCAGCTACAGTGATGGCAACAATCAGCTCCAGCAGATTGAAAACTGCCAGCACACCTGAGATACCCTGCATTCGCAACTGGACAGAAACACAGAAGACAGAACCTCAGCTGAAGAGGACCAGGAGACAGGCCTCAGAAATCAGTGCTTTTAGCGCTCGGAACAAAGTCCTTAAAAAAAAAAAAAACGATTTTAGCTCACAGACCAATGTCAATAGAGAAAATCAGCTCAGACTATAGAGTCTATAGAGAATAGAAAATAAGTGATGGATAAGAGGGGATCATTATTTTTAGTCTACAACAAGCCCAGAATCCTTAGCTATTAAAGACTTTGCTGATATTGATTTTATTGCTAATAATAATTTTTAAAATATTATTATTTTAATAATAATAATAATAATAATAATAATAATATTTTAATATATTATTATTTTAAAATAATATTTTTTTAAAAATTATTTTTAAATTATTTTATTTTATTTTATTGTCTTCTTGTCGTCTTGCGTTTAAATATCCAAAAACCCTCTCCATCGTCGCTGTTGGAAACATGCAGTTTTGCCTTCAAATACCTGATACATGTAGCAATACTCCACGGGACCAAAACCAGGGTAACCATAGCACAGGTAGATAAGTGCGGCGTCCATGGTGTGAATAATGAAGGCAGCGGTGGCAGCGAGAGCAGCAACAACACTGACACCCAGAGCACCCTTGACCTGTGGGGGGCAGCAGAGACACAGCAGTCATCTGGTTAAGTGAGGGCAGTCAAACAATTAAGATTAACTAACAAAAAAAAAAAAGAAAAACAAACTGGATTAATCACAGGATAGGTGTGAATGAACCATATTAAGGATAGATCAACATTTCTAAATATGATTTAAAAATTCAAACTCAAATATGGGATATTAATCTGGAACAAAAGTCCAAAGGTCCGAGTTAAAAATATCTCTTCATAGAGTGTATTTCAGGTCGTCATAACTGTGTCTTGTAGAACGTGTGGCGAGTTTGATTCTATGATTCTCGTTCACGTACAGCAGTGGTTCTAAATGATTTTCTGTCATGCCCTCCCCTTGGGGAAAGAAATGTTTTCACCCTCTCCAACCCTCACGCATTGAAATAATATATCGAGAACCCGATAACATGTATATTTCTATCTGTACAAAGCACTGTATGAACTGCTGCCACCTAGTGACTGGAGGCTTGCTATCACGTCCAGTGTGCCACATTCCATTGGAGGCCCCCTGTGAATTATTCTGCCTAAAATTGTGTCGATTTCATTTCATTCATTAACTACGACTTTTAATGCATTCATTTGGACGGCCCGAGATCAGTCATCCACTACTTGAGTACACACTGAGTTCTGGTGTGGAAACTCACCAGACAGCGATTCAGCCGCTTCCCGGCAGCGACAGTCAGAGATCCCGCTGTGATGTACTGAAACAGAGAGACACCAATGTTCTACAACACCCAGTGGACTACGGTTTCGAGTGAATGATTTGTAGTGCTGAGGTGGACTTACCAGGGCAGCTCCCCAGACAAAGATACCACTGAAAACGCCAACAGAATCTGCCACTGGTGTGGCAGCGATTCCAAACAGCAGAACGATCAGACCCACCATGATCTGAATGACCTGGAGATCAGGAGGAAGAGGATCATTTTATCCTGGGTTGAATGTCTGTCTTGAGTAGAATAAAAGTGTAACCACAACGGTTTTGTCCGTGAAACCTTACCCCGAGCACCTGTGGTCGACCTGCGCTGAACTTCTGGATCATCTTATTCTGATACTGTTGGATTGTAGCACCAGCAGCAACGATGGGATCATTAGGTGCGGGGTGAAACTGGGTGATGATCACTCCCCCTGCCATTCTGTTAGTCTGAGATGAAGACATGCTTCAACTCCAGTGATCTTCTGCTCTTCTGAAACGGCAGCTTCCTGGAAGAAGAGAAATAGAGCATTAGGTTAATGAATGACGAATGCTGACGAGCAGCTGACACTGGTGAGTCAACCAGGAAGTTCTACACTGTGGTCATTAGGACCCAATAACCTACGTGAAACTCTTGGGTTACAAAACCGTCAGGTTTACTTCTCTTTACACCAACACCTGTTGTTCCCCCGCTGCCACTGTTCCCTGTTTGGATTTAGCAGAGTTACACAGACTGACCACCAGAGGCATCAGTGCACCAGCACTTTCTTTCTGAGTGTCTCTGAGCTTAAATAATTGAAAATTAAAAAAAAAAAACTGTGTCAAGAAGAACTTTACCCAACAGACTAACGGAAGGTAAAGGCTAAAAAAAAAAAAAAAAAAAAAAAAAAAAAAAAAAACCCCACAAACAGAATGACCTTAGATGAAGTTTCATTCAAACATTCATTTGAATCGTCAAACAAAAACCCCACTCCTTACAAAAACATACCTGCTCATAAAAGCTGTTGTTTCTTGTTTATTTATTTGGACACATTGATACAGAAGTTTGAACCTTCAGAGGTTCATTTAAAAAAACACAAAGTCCTACAATATAATTTTGATTTTGTTGAAGATGGGTGTGAGAGAGAGAGTGTTTTTTTTTCGTTTGTTTTTTTTTTTTAGAAAAATGACTAAATTTCTCTTAAATACAAACATTTGTCCTGTCGAAATAAAAGTATTTTGTAGCACTGGTTGCAAACGTGAACGTTTCAAAATAAAAGGTGAGGGTCTCTTTGACCTTCATAACCCGCTTTTTTTTTTTTAACATCAGTCCTTTCATTTTATTTTCTCCTGGTTTTTCACCCTGACAACAGGTCCGTGGAGCAAGACTACTGTATAAGGTAATGAACTTTGACCTACGTAACACTAGATAAGGCGAGAGGTGTGTGACTTGATATGTAGAAGCAATCATTAAGCTACTGTACAATGTCCCAGAGGTGAACCAATGAGACGATGAGGTGGTGTGTGACGGGATACATGTGTGTAAACGGCGTGTGAAGTCAAAAACACAGGTACTACATGACCGGTATAATCTAAAAAAAACTGATTTTATTTTTCCATGCTGTGATCAGATGATCTACTCTACGGATTTATAATTGACAGCGCTTTCACGTCCTTCATCCTCAACCAGAAGCCTGGGTGAAACTAAGTGAGGTTTTTAGAAAGAAGAAGTCCCACACTGAGGGGCGGGGCCAACTCTAGACCCCACTGCATCAGTGCATCCATTCCATCTTGTGACTTTGAAAATAGGTTTGTATTTGAAATAACCTCCAAAAAAAAAATGTCACACTTTCTACAAAATTTCCATCCGATCTTTCCGTTTTCATCTGGTTCTGTACTGTTTGGAAAAAAAAACAACTTTTCAACAATTATCTTATCTTATCGGTTAGTCGCTGCTTGGCTAAGTCATCCGGTTCCGTACTGTTTGGAAAAAAAAAAAAACTTTTCAACAATTCTTATCGGTTAGTCGCTGCTTGGCTAATGTCTGATGTCAAACAAACTGCAGCTGCCTGGGTTTCATCTAAAAACAGGAACAGGAAGTGACCTCGCTGTCACGCATGAGGCGCAAACCAAGTTGGTTGGTGTCACTGTTGTAGTGACACCCTCACCACAAGGAGCCAGCGTATTAGGAAAATGTCATTAAACTGCCACACGGGGGCACCAATGAGTCAACCACGGACTGAGAATTTAAGAAGAAGATTTAATAAAACGGACAAACACATGACTTCATTTAAACCTGTACGTGTCTGAGTGAGCGAGAGGAAAGGGGAGTGTGTATGCGTGAGTGTGTGAGAGGGTATATGGGTGTGTCAGGTGTGGTTTAAATGACCGTCGTTCGACAGATTGTGCTCAGGTGACTTGTGTTTTCCGTGTACCACGTATGCTAACTCATTCACATGACCGGTTTTGCTGGTTGGGTTCTACTTGGTCGAGGTCCAGGCCTGATCTGAGTGAGGAGAAGGAGCGCAGAGCTCAGAGTCAGAGTCAGACTCGCCCTCCGCGATGTAGGGCCGCACGGCGGCACAGAGCGGAGCTCCCCCTGCTGCTCGGCTGTAGTAACCGTTGTTGAGAAAGTCCAGGTTCTCTCTGGACTGCGAGATGGAGAACCCACTGAAGGAATGCTCCAGCTGCTCGCGGTCCACCGATGGGATGGAGACTGACGCGTCACTGTCCATCTTCACCTCCTCCCCCACTTTCCCCACCACAGCCCCAGAGCTGCCGTTAGCCACCTCCCCACCACGCTCTATCCTCTCAGCGGCCCCGCGCTCTCCGCCGCTTTGGCGGTTGGGTCGGTTCCCCCCGTGTCTCTCTCCAGCTGGAGGAGGAGGGAGTCGAACCAGAGAACCATCTCCCAATGGACTCGGCGTGTTGCCATGGCTACGCTGGAGGGCGGGAGGAGCCTGTTGAGGGAGGTGGGAGCTAATTGGCTGCCATGAGGTGGAAGGCGGACAGGTAGGGGCGCTGAAATTTCGGTGTCCGGTGGAGCTGCTGGAACGAACCATCTTCATCCCAGAGCGAGGTTTCTCCACATGGTCCACAGGCAGAACCCTGCAGTCAACAAGTGTAGAAAAGAAATCAGTTCCAGAACCATTGGTCCAAAAACCTAAAAAGGGACAGAAATTATAGTCAATTCAACCTGATGTTCCTGATATTATCCTGGTTGAAATATTTAAAAAGTTCCTGAATAGACCTGGTTTTGACAGGATCATAAGTCAAAATGGGTCAAAGTCCATCGTCAGTCTCTGTAAATAGTTCCTGAATAGACCTGGTCCTGACAGGATCATAAGTCTGGGTCAAAGTCCATCGTCAGTCTCTGTAGAGGCTGATGATGGTCCTCTAGACCATTGTTTTCCTGGGTCACGACCGGGAAGTTTTTTTTTTTTGGGGGGGGTCTTCTCACATCATGTTTCCCACGAATGATGTCTATTGACTTGGGTCGCAAAGGTTTGTGACTTTTAAAATATGGGGTCCCCTAGAACAAAAGTTTGGGAAACACAGGTCAGAGGTTTCCAAAGTGGAGGAGGTTAGAGGAGGTGCAGTACCATTGCAGGATGGGTCCAATCCTGTAAATGTTTAACACCAGACTGGCTAAAAAAACAAACTGGTTAAAGGCGGTGTCAAATGGATATCTGATAATAATATTGCAAAGTCCAAGAGTCAATTATTTTATGATTCCTTGCTCTCGGGTTGCTATTGCCATGTACGATCAGCTCAGGGCAGCAGCATAAAAATGGACATGCTTTTTGACAGAACTTCCACGTAAACGCAAAGCACAGGATGACACATCGGTGTCTGTGTATGTCCTGGGGGGGGGGTCAGCGGGATGATGGTTTTTTTTTTATGAAGCAAAGGGGAGGGGGCGGGGGCCCAGCAGAGAAGGTTTGTGAACCACTGCTATAGGTACTGTAGCGTCATCTGACCCAGTTTAGGAACTTACCAGTTTAGCACTTTTCTGGAATGTTGAAATTTGTTCAGTCTTCTACCAAAAATCTGTTTGAGTTGAAAAATGTTCCCTATTGTGATTAATTCATGACCGTAATTATTTCGATTTTTGGCCCCAAACAAGTCCCACCACTAGGGAGATGACGAGCTTCTTCTGACTTCTGACCCGGTCCAGTTTCAGATTCATCATTTATTTTGATGGTCGGTGACACGCTATGCTAGACAAGACTAAAATATATTTTAAAAACACTCTGGAAAGACCACTGACGGCAGGATCTTGGGTGTGGACTGGCTTTTCTCCAGGTGATCCACTGGACTGTGGTAGGGTGGCGCCGGGTCTGGCTCCTTAGATCCAAAGTAGGCATCAGTTTCAGACTGAGGAATTCCCATTCGCTGGATGTAGATGTTTACCAGGAAGTCTAACTTTCTCTCCATGGACAGGACCTGCAGAAGACCAATTGGATTAAGAGAAAGAAGGGCACACCAATGAAAAACCCTCTCATCTGAGAGGATGAGAGTGTTGTCTAAGTGTTACCTGTTTCTCCACCTTCCCCAACCGTCCCATCATACTGGGGTCCTCAGGGAGCTCCTCGCTCGTGGCTTTTGGACGGTCTTTGTCAGCAATGGGCGTCCCTCGGCCGACTATCTGGTCCACTCTAATAGTCAGGAGTTAGTTTTGATTTAGTCCTTGTTCCCTGCTACTTGAGGTCATCATGGTAAAAAATGTGATTTGAGTTCAAATCAAACTTTTAAACTACACGTCAACGTTTTACATCTCCTGCGCACATCTTTCCGCGTAAATAACAACAAAACAAAGCGTCGACATTCACAGAAACACGAATGCATGAAGACACAGAAGTCAAAGGTCAAAGGTCAGTTACCTGGACTGCAGGTTCTTGATGCGGGCCAGCATGTCCAGGTGACCTGCGGAGTACTGCTCAATCACGTCCATGACGTCGTAAGGACGGAGGCTCTCCTTGAACTTCCTCTTTGAGACCATGAACCGCATGATGCTGCGACAAACACAGAGTCACCGTGAGTCAACGAGCGAGACACTCCAGTGTTGTGTTTCAGCAAGGTTCAGCAATAAACAAACAGATAAAGTCTGGGATGGGCTGGGATTATGAACGTGACATAAAGAAAACACATCTTATGAAAGCAGGGGCCGTGACCTTGACCCTGCACGTTTAACCTCTGGGATTTTCACTCGGGAGTGGAACTGATTCGTTCTGCTGACGTTCTCCTCTTTTCTAAGAGTACATCGTCTGCGGTTGTACAATACTGGAGATACACTGCAGCTGGAGAGCACGAGATGGTGCTCACCGCTTTATAAAAACTTGCTCCGTACATGTCGCATGTCCATTGTTCGTCCATCGTTCGGTAAGAGTCAAATGGTACAGTCACACTTCAATTGCAAAAACGAAGGAAGAGGTGACAGAAAGCTTCGGGAGACTTTCCGTGATGTCACAGTAACAGAAAGACAGTGAAGGAAAAAGAAGATGAAAGCTAACTGCTCGTCACACTCACGGGTCTTACCCCCACACAGCTGATGGTGATCTTTGACCCTGGGTAAGAACAAAGCAATAAAAACAAAGCAATAATGTGAATCATAATCGGAACCAGCAAATCAAAGTGAGCAAAGCGAAGATGAACGATGACAAATAAATAAATAAATAAATAAAAAGTGACTTTATCGAGTACAGAAGAAGAAGAAGAAGAACAGCAGGTCGGTACCAGATGGCTCTGATGGTGACCTTTATGCCAGGGGTGAGGTCCTGAGGAACAAACTCGCAATGGCAGCTCTTGTTGTCATCTGCAATGTCTTCTCCTGGAAGACTCGCATCTGAAATTACAGCAACAGCGCCCCCCCTCCCCAACATTAATCTTATGGAAATGCAACAGTAAAGCAACATTGGGACCAGGATCCTCACACAGAAATCTGCATTTGGTCAAGGATTAGAACATCAAGACTAAGAACTAAACCTGAGTACCAGGTCTGAAGCTGTGGATCCTCAAACTCAAATACCTATGAAGTAGGACCAAACACCGAGACAAGAATCAAACACAGGACCGAGGACTAGTCCATACAAGTGACCAACAATCCAAGCATTTGGATAAGGACCAGGACCAAGAACCTGGAGGAAGAAGAAACGTCTGAAGGAAAACCAAACATGGGGAGCAGAGCCACTGTGAGACAGATCTAAATGTGCAGCAGAACCCTGCATGGTTTGGTTGAAGTGAACAAAACAGGGAAGAGTCTGAACCGTGGAGGGTGAAAACTGAACTTACTGCCACTGCCCTTTTTTGCTGAGACCAGATCTGTGTGTGTGTGGGTGGGTGGTTGTGTACGTGTAAGTGTGTTTTCTGACCTGGCGAGTTCTTCTGTCTGAACTCTTCATCCTGCATCTCAATGAGCACTAAAACAGGAGGAGACAGAGGAGACACAGACCATCATCATCGTCATCATCACCATTGCCATCATCATCCTCATCGTCAACATCACCATCTCGTCATCATCGTCAACATCATCATCATCGTCATCATCATCGTTGACCTCATCATCAACACTATCATCATCATTATCATCACCATCATCATCATCACCATAATCAACATCACCATCATCATCCTCATCGTCAACATCACATCGTTGACCTCATCATTGTCATCTTCGTCAACATCATAATCGTCAACATCATAATCGTCATCATCATCGTTGACCTCATCATCAACACTATCATCATCATTATCATCATCATCGTCATCACCATACTCAACATCACCATTGTCATCATCATCATCATCATCATCATCACCATCACCATCACCATCATCATCCTCATCGTCAACATCACCATCCCATCATCATCGCTGTCATCATCGTCAAAATCATAATCGTCATCATCATTGTTGACCTCATCATCACCACTATCATCATCATCATCATCATCATCACCATAATCAACATCCCCATCACCATCACCATCACCATCACCATCACCATCATCATCATCATCGTCATCATCACCATTGCCATCATCATCCTCATCGTCAACATCACCATCCCATCATCATCTCTGTCATCATCGCCAACATCATAATCGTCATCATCATTGTTGACCTCATCATCACCACTATCATCATCATCATCATCATCATCACCATCACCATCACCATCATCATCATCACCATCCTGTTAGCCTAGTTTAGCCTAAGGTTTTCTCTTATCCTCATTCATTTCGTCCTAAGAATCAGGAAATTCATGTGATGTGTTGATCCAACCAATCACAGCCACTAGGGAGAGATCCAGTACAGACAGATGCAGTACGGAGACACTGATACGTATCACGAGTGAATAGTGGAACTTGGATGGAGAGATCCAGTACAGACAGACAGAAGTATCACGAGTGAATAGTGGAACTTGGATAAGGACCAAACATCTGAACGAAGACCTAACCAATGGACATGAGCCAGGAATAGCAACAGGACAGGAAGCAAACATGAAGAACTGCTCCAAATGTCTTTATCAGACCCAAACAACCAAATTAAACCTTTCAAGGGGATCAGATCTATGGGTCGAGTCCAGACATCTACCTCAGGGCTAAACGCCTGCACTGGGTTCAAACATGTGAACAAAAACAGGACATACAGTACATTAGGATGGCAACAAGTGTATTGGAGTGAAGAACCACGGTCAAACTTAAGGGTAAGGACATACCGGAGGTATCAAACAAAGGAATTCAGTTCCAAAATCGGCACCATGTCTAAATATGTGGACCAACGAAAAGTCCTTTCCAAATGAATGCATCCGAAGACTACACGTATTCTGTGGATTTGTCAGATGTTCGGGTTAGACTATTGTCAACGACCCACTTTGAATTGCTTGATAATTGTACCTTCAGAGTTTTGGCGAGAGGCAGCGCCTCGGATCCTGAAAGCCTGTCTGGTTCTGCTACGTTCTCCAAAGCTCCAACTCTTTGGAACTTTGCTGGGACTCTCCTCCCCGGAGGGTTCCATGCTGGGTTCCATGCTCCGGAGTGCTTGCACTGTAGGACTCTCAGCAACTACTGGAACTCCAGAACCATGAGTCACGCTTGTAGCAACACTATGACCAACTACAGTCAGAGAGAAGAAAACATGGGCCAGCCGGGATCAGTAAGGGTTGCAGACCGGCTGAAGTTCAGACCAACTGACCCCTGGCCGGCAGGGGGAAAAAAACAGACCACCAGTACCAAACAGTTCCAATGTATAGTCCTTAAATGTTCTTAAACTGTTCTGTATTGCCTGTCTTTATTCTAGGAACGGATCAGACCTGAGACCTGGACAGGGTTGGATCTGATGGTGTCTTCATATGGGAGACTCACCGTGCTGTGGAGAACCTTTCCCCTTGTTTCCTGAACTGCGAGGGGAAGAGAAGACCCTCTCCTTCAGACTGACCTTCTGACTGCAGAGAGACCATAAGACAAGTCAGAGGACATTACTGGTACATTATTGTGTCCCCCAGACCTGACTGAGAACCAGATACTGACCTTGGAGAGGGTTCAGGCTGGACGTCCTTCCTGAGATAAGAGACAAAAATGACTGCAGTAGCTTTAGCGGTTCAACGGCTGCAATACTCTAAGTACTGTAGAATTGTACCTGAATGAGAGTCCTGACTTGTTCTTCAGGTTTCTCAGTAAATCCAGCTGATTCAGAGGAGGGATCAACCTGCAACACAAGTCCATCATCAATAAAAATCTCTTTAATCCCTTCAATGACCCTTGATCTATAATCAATAATCACCTGTACATCGGCACAGAGACAGTCCTCTCATAATAGTCCCAGGTGGATGACAAATCCGTTCGGCTCAGATTTGTGGCGTAAACCCTCCACGCCGCCTGTGGAAACGAGACTGAGTCTGAACCTGAACCTGGTTCAGTGTCTTGTTCTGAATCAGCCTTCGGTCCTGAATCTAAAACCTAGTTTGGACCAGAGTTTCGACTTCTAGATCTAAACGTGGTCCTCACCTGTATAAGTCCAGCTGCTGATCTAAACATGTATAAGTCCTCACCTGTATAAGTCCAGCTGCTGGGTTCCGTCTCTTCTCAAAATGTTTCTGTCGATGCTGTTCCTGAACTTTCAGAGCGAAACCAGAACCCAGGATCCCCTGAAAACCAGCAAAAACAGAACAGGTGTCGGAACCAGGTGTACCTTAGGTGGTGTGGATCGTGTATAACCCTGATGATCAGTGTGAGATGTATAGATGAGGTGAAACCAGGTGAGGTATATGGACCATGTGTGACCCATATTTAATGTATGGACCAGTTCTGACCCAAATTATTTGTATGGACCAGCTGTGATGCAGGTGAGATGTATGGGCGAGGTTTGACCCAGGTAAGACTGAGTTGTGTGACTTACTGCAGGCAGAGCAAAGAATGAAACCCCGATGAGTGTGAAGGTCGCAGCCAGAAGACGCCCGTTCCATGTGATGGGAAACTTATCTCCATAACCGATGGTAGTCAGGGTGATCTGTCAGCGAAAAACACTTTTTTTTTTTTCTGAATAATAAAACATAATAAAAAAAAACCAATCCATTATCATTGACCTCCGGAGGACATGAGTTTTGTGTATGTTTCTCACCAGTCCCCACCAGAGGGCGTCAGCATACGTCTCAAATTGTTCATTATCTTCTTTTTCTGCCAGATAAACCAGGAAACTGGCCAGAATGAGACACAGGAAGCCAATGTACCAGGCTGTGATGAGTTCCTGTGGGTGAGAGACAGCAGTGAGAGACACAGAGGGAGAGAGGCGGGAAGCGAAAGACAGAGACAGGTGTCCCACCTTGCTGTGAGCGTAGACTACTGATCCAAGCAGTTTCCAGGTCCCTCCTCTGCGGTCCATACGAATCATCCTGAGGATCTGCAGGAATCGGAGAGAACGAATGGCTGATGTGGCAAAGACGTTTCCCTGAGTCCCTGCCGCCAGGACGGAGATGGACGCTATCAGCACCATGATGTCTGCGAGATGTCAAAGGTCAAAAGAAAAGGAGGAAAAAAAAGAGAAAAAACAGAGCGAGCAGAATGAAATGTTTAGCCAAACAGACAGACAGACAAACAAAACAGGCAGAGAGACAGACAGGACAGACAGACAGAGAGAGAGACAGGTGAAAGGTCAGACTCACCGATGACGCAGAAAGGTTTCCTGGCGAATTTAAGTCGACCTCTGAGTCCTCTGTATCTACAACAGCAACCTGCAGCCCAGATTCTCACCATATACTCCACCCCAAACACAACGATGGTCACCACTTCCTGTTACACGAGCACGACGATCATTACAATATCCTCAATTACACCAATCAAGTCACTGGAAGAACAAATCAAGCCCACTCTCAGTCAGAGAGATCATACCAGGATGTAGAGAGCGTCCTCTGAACTCTTCTCGTACTCCTTGATAGTGGAAAAGACAGAGAGAACCAGGCAGGAGAAGACCAGAAGAAACCTGGGGGGGGGGGAGCACAGAGAGAGGGAGCCAGCGTCACTCATTCATTCTGTCATTGGTTTTCTGTAGTTGTCGATGTCCGAGTCCCAGCCCACAGTTGCTCACACGTAGGCGTGGTAGATGAAGGCCCATCCTCGTGGTCTCTCCAGGACGTTGTACAGGAAGTTCTGCAGTCGCCTGTAGAGGGCGTTTCTCTTGGGAGGTTTCTTCCCTCCGGAAACGCTGCTGCGCTTACGACGAGGCCCCTCCTCAACACCTGAGAAGTATGATTCATATTTGATCATTGATCATCTCTGAGTGATTGATCAGCCAATCTACAGCGAGTTGTTGGTCAGTTGGACTAATGTTAGTAATTGATCAGTTAATCTACTGTTAGTTATTGATGAGTCAGTCTACTGTTAGTTATTGATCAGTCAGTCTACTGTTAGTTATTGATCAGTCAGTCTACTATTAGTTATTGATCAGTCAATCTGCTGTTAGTTATTGATCAGTCAATCTACTGTTAGTTATTGATCAGTCAGTCTACTGTTAGTTATTGATCAGTCAGTCAACTGTTAGTTATTGATCAGTCAATCTGTTGTTAGTTATTGATCAGTCAATCTACTGTTAGTTATTGATCAGTCAGCCTACTTTTAGATATTGATCTGTCGGTTTACTGTTCGTCATTCATAGGTTGATCTGAAACATCAAATCAAACGATTAATGGTCTGAATATTTAACCACATATGGACGCTATTCATATTCACTGTTTTAATCACACACTCTACATTAACTATCGATTTGTTTGCAGCACAGCCTCCGAGGAATTGAGTAAACGCCGAGCCACAGTTTTGAATCAAATCAATTAAGGCATTAATGTAGGTCCTGTTCTGTCAGCAGAACAGGACTGAGAGCAGAACATGTATTAACGGTGGATCAGTGAGAAGAGAGCCACTGTCACCGAGCCGGCAGGAAACTTCAGCACCTTTACACTGATTTCATCCAATCCAGTTAAAGAGAAACCTCCTGAACCTGGACTCTGGATAGAACCTGCTGCTCTATCTCAGAAATCAGGTCCTGGACCAGTTTGCTTCTCCAAAGACCTGCAGACCAGCAGCAGCCACTTCATTAAAGGTTACAGAGATGTGCAGAAACATCTCAAAGATTGTTCTCCATCATCATCCTGGTTCTTCTGCTGTGCCCTTCCAGCTGACTTGACTGACCAGAGCTGGGACTTTCTCTCTCATTGACAACACCACTTCCAGTAAGGATGAGGGATTGGGTTTCATCTCTTATCCCTGCTAGGTCTTTAGTTTCCTTATCTCAGAAAACCCTTTCCTTTAAGAAAGTGCTCCACTCCACTCTTCTTCTCCCCTGTTTTGGGATGAGAGCTTACGTGACTCAGCTCTGAGTGTCAGGGCTGTGAACATGAAAATGTTCCAATCTCGGATGATGTAGCGCTGGATTGTAGCTTTGCATTATTGATTGTACATGTACAGAACACCAATGACAAACTTGAAGAACTAGCAAAGAACACGGGGCTAAGCGCTGACATCATCAGTCCGTACCAGCAGACACTGTGGTCCAATTCTGACACGTTATTGATTTACGCGACCCAGGACATCGAGGACAGAGGGGGTCAGCACAGAAAATGTTAAAGCTTCTGACCTCCCTGTACCACCACCGTGGATCCACCACCTCAGTGGTGAGTGTGAATGGTTGTTAGATGGCTAGAAATGTATTATTCCCCCTTGGGAGTTCCCTTTGGGACATTGGCTGGAATGCCACTCCAATTGCAATTTTATTCATATACAGTATATATATATATATATATATATATATAGTTCAGTTATATATATAAACATATATAACGGAAGACCAATGGAGACAGTAATGCTGATGTTGTTGTTTTTTTTACTTATCAACCAAGTAAGAACTGAAACAAATCATTCATTATCTGGACTAATCTCTAGTAAATAGAACCGTTGTCCTGTAATGATAAAAACATGATTCATTTCAATGTAATCCTTCTCCATCAACCAACGACAGACACGCGCACACGGCCGTGCACACGCACACGCACACTGCGGTGTTTACCCGTTATGAGCAGCGCTCCATCTCTGCTGGATTCAGTGCCGCCTCCCTCCAGACCCACGAAGCCCACCTTCAGCTTCTTCTGGTCAGCCTGAGCTCCGGGGAAAACCCCGCCGTTCCGTGATTTCTGGACCATAACTGAGCCGTCAGTCAGGACTCAGCCCCGACACAGAGCAGCGTAGCTGACTAGGTCGAGCATCGCTGCGACGGAAGTGAACGAGGTGGAGGTGGGGGTGGTGGGGGGATAATGAGGAGGAGTCGGAGGAGGAGGAGGAGGAGAAAGCAAAGACGGAGGGAATGATAAAGGAGCAGAAAATCTCTCGGTCAGCAGCTGCTTCTTTCCTCTCCTATAGTATGGTAGGGAAATAACGTCACCGATCTTTTTGATGACAAAACGAAACAATGTATGGGGTCACCTGATCTGCTGCCTCTCGTCTTGGCAACGTGAGAGGGTCACTGTAGCAACCAGACAAGAGGAGAAATTTGAGGATGAAATGAAAGAAAATGGAGAAGTTTAAAATTAAATTGTTAAATTAAATAATAATAATTTTTAGACAGTTTTTTTTTAATAAAACAATTTATTTTGATGTGTGAATTTTCAAATGGCAGTGCTTGTTTCTATGACAACACAATGGGCCAACGCTTCACTTCTGACTGGCCAGGAGGTAGCAGGGTTCAGACGTCAGTAGGGTATTTTCTTGATGAAGCTATTGAACATGTCCAGAGCTGCAATTGGTTTATCAGATGGAACCATGTGACCTGCACCCTGCAAGACAGTGATCGGAGGTCAGGTGCAGGAACAGGCAGGGTCAATGAAGTCATGTCTTTTTTTTTTTCTTTTTTTTTTCTTTTTACCTTGACTGTGACAAAGGCCATGTTTTCAAACTCCTTTACGAAGCCACCAACCTGGCGCCCCCTGTCGTCATTGTAGAACCACGGTCGGCGCTCCACTTTCACCTGGGAGACAAGTGACATCACAGGTAAGGCAGTGACATCATAGCTCAGTACAAGTGACGACACTGAGAGCCGTTACCTCCTGCTGCAACGACTCCACGAACCACTCGTCCCCCATAAAGTTACAGGCCATGTCGACGTCACCGTTATAGACCAGAACTCGGTACTTCTGTAGGAAACAAAAGGTCACAGGACCTGGTGATGTGACCAGAAGGTTCACTGATCTGACTGATTACATCAGGGGGGGGGTCACAAGATCGAAAGGAATCACTGACCAGGGTATCGAGCAGCTTCTCATACTGTTTCTTCATGTCAGTGTAAACTCGGCTGTAGTTCAGGTTGACGTCAGAGCTGTAAAGACAGCAAAGTCAGCCGGGGGGGGGGGGGGGCGGGGGTGGACACGTTTCATAAGAAATGCAGGTGTTTACCTGCAGATGCTCCAGTTGAGGGCCCTCGGGTTAATGTGCAGGGCAGCCCTGACAATTGGGTTGTTCAGGTAGAGGGTGGAAGGTGTGGAATTGGTGCATGGTGGATCCAGATGCACCGACAGGGGGAGCGAAGCCAATTCCCGAAGTTTCTGAAGATGGAATCAAAAGTCAAAAAAAGGGGAAAATGGGAACAGGCGTGAACATCGTCATGGTCATCATCATCATCACATGGTGCCTCATGGTCAGACAGTACACACCTGGTTCCAATGTCTGGTCCAGTGGTGCTTGAGGAATGAGTTTCCCATATCTCTGATCACCAGCTGACTCTTTTCAACACTACAGATCAAAATCATCTCATGGTCAACGAGGAAGAGGAAGTGAGGACATATACCCTACAGCAGGGGGGATCGTGGTAACGGCTCACCTCAGTCTCTGACCGAGTCCTCCTGCACATGGTGCGTAGAGATTATACATGTTGAGTCCAGAACTGTAGACAATGTCGTAGACCTCTGACACCTGAAAACAACACAAGAGCCGGACAACTGAAAGACTGGTTCTGATTGGACCACCAACATGTTACCAACGGCGTTTTCTAGCATCTTCATCGTCTGCTGCTTTTATATGTACAACAGCTAAAAAAAAATGGTGTTGAAAACCATGGTACTGCAACGTTGTCTTCCTCGGAAATTTTGCACGTTCGCATAAAAAAAAAAATGGTGTTGAAAACGATGGTACTGCAATGTTGTCTTCCTCGGAAATTTTGCACGTTCCACAGAGACTCACGCTGGCTGAGCAGTTCTGGTTCGTGATGTTGTAAAATTCACAGATTCCACTGGAGCAGCAATAGGTCTGCAGTCTGGTCCACAGGTCAGTCCCCAGAAGACCGTGGTAGTAGGAGAAGAACACCAGGGAGTTGTCGTTCATTTGGTAACTGGACATACCATTTCCCACCGCGATTCCCTGAGATACACAACAGAAGTTCCTGTAGAGAACCATCAGACTACACCCATCGGGGTGTGTCGACTTGTACGCAGCAGTGCTACTTACTAGTAGGTACAGCAGTGTACACTTGATAATACTGCAGTACCATCTAGTTCAAGTACTACAGTACAATGTAGCTTCAGTTACGGCAGCACCATCTGCGTACCTGGAGGTTAAGCTCATCGTCCTCCATCACCCTCTCGGCCAGCGTAGGAATGTAGATTCCTCCATAACTTTCTCCTGTGAGGAACAGTTGGTTCTTGCTGTATTCGGGGAACAGCTGAAAGAACTTCTTCAGAGCCAGGTAGTTGTTCATCGACACCTGAGACGGCAAAAGAGAAATGTCAGCTGATCACCTGCCAACCAAAAAAAGAAGAGTTACTAAAAGGTTGATCACCGACCTCATTGTCATTTGTGGTATAGTTTTTATTGTCAGAGTAGGAGAACCCAACTCCTGCTGGAGACTCCAGGTACAACATGTTGGCAATCTGTTTTAAAATCATTTGTAAAAAACAATCAGTTTCCAGGATTCACAGAAGTGACCAGCTGACCAAATCTGTCACAGACCGTGTTCCAAGAGTAGGGGTTGTACTCCAGAGTCACTCCGTCATCCTGGATCTGAAAAAGACAAAGGTCAGAGGTCAATACTGGTCACCGTGACATCACTACCAGAAAAATTCAGTGCTTTGTACCAGATATGGTCCATGTTCTGTCAGGAGTCCATCCAGGGAGCTGCACCCGGGCCCACCATTTAACCACAACACTACTGGGTCAGAGGACGGGTCATTCTGTGACTCCACGAACCTGTAAACGATCAAGTAAACACCAGCGTAAGAAGGTAAAGGGCAGAGGGGGGCAGAGGTCACGGCATCTGAGGTGAAGATTTGACGTTCTAGTAAAACACTCCAGTCATGATGATGACCATCAAAGAGCAGAAGAGGACAAGGTGTTAGGAGGCAGAGAGTGAACAGGAGCGTAGAGGTCAGAGTAAGGACTCTTGAGCTTTGGGACAACGATGGTAAAGGTAGAAGCTGGAGGACATGGTGGGACAAGACAGATATGGTCTTGTGGTCAGTAAATAAAGCCACAACAAGGCCAGAAACACTGGAGGAGGAATCATTGTTATTATAGTCTAGATCAAATCAAAGGTCGACTCAGAGTGAGGCTCAGCCTGATGTAAAGATGACAAACTTAAAACCAGGTGTGGTCATGTGATCAGTCCATGATGTAACCAAGCACTTGATTGGTCACAGGCAGGTTATGCGAGTATCTCACCAATAGTGCAGGTGTTTCCCATCTGCTACGTTCAGGTAACCGGAGTAATGCCTGAAGTTTGGCTGTTTATGCAGACCTGGCAGGAAGTTGATCTCATCTGCTGCCGGCGCTGCATCAATGTCCAGCATTGACAACAGGAGGTGACATAACAACAACAACAATGCCTGCATCTGAAACACGGCAGAAAGCAACAACAGCTCAATGAACCTGAACCTTACTATAAAACACCATTAGGTGGAGCTAGATAGCTCTGTTATGATGTTTACTCTAGGTACATGTACCGCAGAAACATTAAATAACCTTTTAAACGTTCTAGTTCCAAACGATGCTAAGAATCAACACATACATTTTTTTTTCAACTATTCAATAGTGTTGAGGCTTGAGGAAATTTTGATATTCTCTATCATATCATATCAACAATACATTTTTTTCAACTATTCAATAGTGCTGAGGCTTGAGGAAATTTTGATATTCTCTTTAACAAGTGGGGAAGTTCACAAAACGTGCTACTTCCTGTTAGAACAAAATAGCCGATCATTCCGCTCTTTTACATGCTACCGCGGTTAACTAACACTAACTAGTGGGTCACTGAAAAAACACAGAGCAGCACCGGAATGAACTCACCGTCACTTTTAGACTTCTGCCACTGCAAATTCACTCCTGTATCTCGTCGGGGCAGCCGCAGCTGAAGGCAGTAAACGATCAGTGGTCACATGACACTGGCAACACTCGTGACGTTGAATGGTCACGTGATGTGCAATTAACCGTTTTATACCCAAACAAAAGAAAAAAAACCTCTGGAATCTGGAATTATTAAGAAAAAGAAAAATAAAATTCTATGAATTTTTCATGGTAAAACGATATGAAAAATTTGTGAAGGATAAAACTGAGAAAATCCTGGTTTTATCACATTTATACGAAAGCAATAGATATTGCTTTTCTATAGTGTCAACAAAGCTGGTCATGATTCTTCTGCATTGATGTTTTTTGGCAAAAAAAAAAAACAATCACAAACAGGAATCACTGAAGATTCCTCTTTAAATGTATCTAATCCAGAATCCAAGTCAAACAGTTAAACATTAATACCGTAATAATACATCACCCAAAAAAAATTTTTTTTGGTAGTGATGTCTTAGTTTATTGACCTCTAACCTTTGTCTTTTCAGCTCCAGGATGACAGCGTAATAATTAATAATATTAATATTCATCAGTAAGGGTAGACAGAAGTGGGATGCGGCCCGATTTAATTACAATGCGCTGTCTGTCTGAAGATAGTTTCTCATTTACATAGGAACAAGAGGATCTGTGCGCTGATTGGCTGACTTTATTCAAATAATAAACACAAAAGCACAGAACAATTTTCTGCAGAAACTTTATTTAAAAACAGAAAACAAGCATACATGTGGAAAAAACAAAAATCTGTATAGCTGCTGGACAAGGGGGGCGGAGCTTTTTCAGGGTCGAGGAGGTGGTCTCATCCCTGGAGGGGGTGGTCCTAGAACAGAAGAGTCACACATTAGCAGCTTATAGATAACGAAAGATGCTGTCACGTAATTAGCTGAACACAACTTACCTCTCATACCAGGGGGTGGCGGCCGCATGCCGGGAGGAGGCATTCCCATCGGAGCACCTCGGCCCGGAGGCATTCCCATTGGTGGACCCATTGGAGGCCGCATGCCAGGAGGCGGGCCCATCATACCTGCAAGGCAAGGAGAAGGCAAATGACAACCAATCAGATAATTACGAAAAGGAAAGTGAACTACTTGTCATTGTGACACAGCACAGCACTGCACACAACCAAATGTGACCTCGGATTTTAACCCATCACCAAAGTGAACAGTGGGCGGCTTTAAGTGCCCGGGGAGCAGCGTGAGGGGACAGTGCCATGCTCAGAGCACCTCAGTGCTAACTTGGCAGCTGGTGGACTCAAATCTGAAGCCTTCTATAACCCAAGACTGCTTCCTTAACCACCACTGGTGCCTCCTTAAGAGTGGTGCCTCTTAGGAAGGCACAACTGCCTCCATACGAGAAGAGGGGAGCAGGAGACCAGTACACGTTACTAAACTGATTCTGACATTCATCTGGTGCCGTCTGCCAGCTAGGTCCCTGCAAAGCAGTGCGTACTGGTCTTGTTGTTCACCTTCTGAGTGGTGGAAATTTAGCTTCTAAAACCTGGAGGAGGTGGAGGAGGAGTAGTAGTAGTGGTGGTAAACATAACACCCCCCCCCCCCCCCCCCCC